ATGAAGAAGAATGATATCACCAGGAGAAGTTTGGTTTTGCAGCGTGTCCTTGAGGGCCTCCCAGTTGAGACCCCGCGTAGCGGGATCCCAATAAGGATAGACCTTGATTTGAAGGTTAGCTGTTTCAAAAACCTTAAAATGGTTGCCCCAGGTTGGATCAGAGACCCAGATGGTTTTAGAGCTGTTGAACTTAGATAAGAAAGCAGCACCCAAGTGGTTAGCACCGGTACCAGAAACGGTTTGGAACGAGGATACACGGTTGGATTTTAACAGAGCACTGTCTTGACCAAAGATGACTTTGGAGGCGGATTTTGTATACTCATCAAGACCGGAAATTGCCAAGTATTCATGATTGTAGCTGGGGTCGGCTTGAATTCTTTCACTGGCGGCTTTAACACAGGGTAAAATCCAGGGTTTACCTTCGTTCGAACGGTAAGCACCGACACCTAAATCAGCTTTATCAGCCCGAGTGTCGGCCTTGTAAAGGCCAATCAAGTGGAAAATAGGATCAGGAGCAATGCTAGGAGGAGCGGCGATCATAATGGTGTAGTTTGTACGTGACAAGTAAGTGATAAGGAAATCAAAGGAAGGTGCGAAGTATCCTGGGGATGCGATGCGGTTTAAATGGAACTCGGTATTAGAACCACCAAGATGAGTAACCCAACCCCTATGTACGTAAGCGAGGCTCTATGCGCTTTCAAGCATCTTGAAGAATGATGATATTTAGCTACGGACGGTAATAAACTAAATAATAATAACATTTTCGTTTTATTTTTGAGAAAATATAAATTCCATATGTCCGGTCAAGCTACATTAATATTTTTTTGAAGGAACAGAGTATAAATTGGAACACACCCAAACAAGATAATTAAATTGCGGCAAATAATGGACGAGCCGTCCAACGACAGAATCTTCAACGAATACGTCTTTGGGCCACATCGGAATTATTCGCGCTGTCCCAATAAGAAGGTAATATACGGCTTCAATTTGCTCAACCGCCGCCTGGGCAAGAAAAATCGTATCAGATTGCATAAATTAGTCTTTTTAGCTTGTGGTCGTCCCATGTCTAGCTACGGTCATACTGAATTGTAGAGAAATTCTTTGGCCCCTTCTCAAACAAGTATACTATATAGGTTGTAGCTAACCGTGGAAAGAACGACTCTTCCACCAGTGTGTACACCAAAGAGCAAAATATATAACCGGCAAACTCTTGGGGGAATCCCTCTTTTGATCCAAGTCCAACAGGAATTACCCCGCGAGACACCGTCTTTAGCGTAATTATTGGGTTTAACTAGATCTTAAACCTTTCTCGGGCTTGATTACACCTTAAAACCAATCTCCCCCTCGCTATCTACCCTAACCCCGAGTAAAATAGGGTTGGTCTTATAACCTTGAAGTTGTTGAATTTTTAACGTTTTTTGTAAGGGCCCCAATGTGTCTATGTAAACCACTGAATGTATTGGGAGATGAATATCTGATTTGAATCTAGATTCTCTTGGTTCAATTCTATTAAACGTCCATCCGCTTCTTTCTCAAACTACCGACTATTGGTCTGGAAAGTTTTCTTAAACTTCTCATCCAGTCTACGGAGGTGACAGCAAATATATAATGAACCCCCTTCACCCCATCACCGGGCTGTTTTCTAGTTGAGTAACATACAGCCTGACTTTGTGTTTAAAACTCGAAATCCTTTCCTAAATTTCATGGCGTCTGGTTTAAAAACATCTACTTTCTAAAAACCCAGTTCCTCATATTGGAGATTCCCAGACACTCACCAAAAATCAGAGTAGTCTTTTGGTTTCATATAACTAAAAACTGAACGCCTGAGTCAAAAATGGCCTTACTGAATTGCAAGTGTTTTCTATCTATCAACTATCATTCTTGTATTTATTTTTTCTCTCTTCCGCTTTCTACTCGTTATATGTAATTATTGTTTTTTACCTTATCAGCCTTTCCCCCGGATTTCTCACTGCGAACTTGACCCACTGAAATGGCTGCACGCTGCAACGCGGGGCAGCTTCCCAGCTAATGGCCTTCTCTCTAACAGGCACAGTCTTGTCTTTTGACTTGCAATATCTCAAACAAAGACAACAAACGTGTTAAGTTTATAAAATATCAAAGAAAATGGTCGATTACTCAAAATGGGACAATCTAGATATTTCTGATGATGAACCAGAATCCTCTCCAATTCAACCACACTCTAGACCCCAGCGCTCATCTGCTCCCCTCGACTCTTCCCCCAAAACGAAAGACCAGAAATCCTCGGTAGAAGAATTCACTCACGCTATTGTTAATAATCAAGTACTTTTTCGACGCTTGCAGACTCTTTTGAGGCTTGAGCCTGATGATCTTAGAAGCAGGTCTATTGAGTCATTGGTGACACTCAGTCGTAACGACGATGAGCCTGCATCGACCGCCACTCCTAAGGACTCATATGATACCATGATCAGAAGTATTTTAGCCAATTTACAATCCACAGATCCGAAGGCTTTTTCGGAAAATTTAAAGGAGCACAAGAAAAAGCTAGGACTAGTAGTTACTTACTACCAGCATCAATTGGCTGGACTCCAAGGCCAAGAGATTGAACCTATGAAGGAGGAAATCAACAATTTAAAGCTGGAGGAAGTCAAAGGCTCTAAATCTAGACAGGTATCATACCCATCGATTTCAACTTCCACTCCTAAACTTTATAACTCAAAAGCAGATGGTAATACACCAGCCTTGCGTGATTCAGCCTCAATCTCAACAGCATCTACGTTTTTTGATAAGTTTTTTGCTCAAATGCCTCAGCCCTACCCTCAAACCCTACAATTTGCGCAACTTCCTATTGATGCCTGCTCCTTTGATTCCCAACATCAATTTTTAACCAAGTATCCTTTTATTATGACTGCCAACCAGAAACAGGCTATAATTATGGCTGTTTTCCAACTTGAGCTCCAGCCTGGATCATCATCTACATTGAGCCGTCAATACATTTTTAACGCTACCTTACTTGAATTTGCTGAACGTATTGGTATTGACTCCTTCTTTAAAGAGCTTGCTAACCCTGATGTTAAGAATGATAGCGATAAAGTTAATTATAACCCTAACTCGCTTCAAGAAGTCTTAGTCTCAGTCACTGCGACTTTGAAGGATGTTCAAAAAAGTTGTCAAAGTCTAATCGAATCAGCGCGTGCTGAGGCTCGATCACATGGAAAGGCCGAGATTCAGCTATTTTCGGTTGATCCTGATAATGAGTTCAGTGATGTTGTAGTGACAGCACCAGATTATCAGATTTTATCTAAGGGAGATAATAAAGTTCGTTATGAAGGAGATTTTACGCCAGAAATGAGGTCCGCTATTGAGGAAGGCAATTTAGAAAAAATAAACGATGTATTAAAGGATATGCCAGTAAAAAAAGCTGAGCTAGTAGTTAAAGCCCTTGATGAATGGAAAGTGTTAAGTGTGGAGAAGAAAATTTATGATGCTACAGAATAATTTCATAAAAGTTTTCGCGCCCTGGCTAAAAGGCAAACTTTCATAGTGGTAAATAAAATATACACTCTTAATAATGAATAGATACAAAGCTTGATAGAAATTATTATTGAATAGCAGTGAAAACATATTTAACTTTTACGAATGGATTTGAAATGTTTTTATCTCACCTGAAAACACTTCTTTGACACTAAATACTAATGTCTGGTATATGAGCTGTGAAACGCTTGAAACTAAAGTAACAAATCTTGAGTGTTTTCATCATATTGTTAAAAATTTCACATTAATGTCTGCGGCCATATCCACTGGAAAGCACGATTTCCCGTCCGATCAATCATAGTTAAGCCAGTGAGAGCCTTCATAAGTACTACGGTGGGAGACCACGTGGGAACATAAGGTGCTGCAGTCTTTTTTTAGTTTTCAGCAAATGGTATTTTTATAGAAAATTATGCACCGATGTGTGCGTGTGTTTTTTGATTTTGTAAAAAAAATATTTATCAAAAGATATTCTTTCACAATTCCTTTCCCGGAAGTAATTTGTGACTCAAGGTATACGGTAAAAAATATGGAATACTAGTGATAGCTAATGAATAAGGAAAAACTTTTTTTACTATCTTAGTAGCTAAAACTGCCTAGACAGGAAGCTCCCGTGGGGTTACTGATTATTTTGTCTAGTTTCAGGAAGCTAATAAAGCCCAAACATAGCAATTTTTGGCCCACACAGTTTAAAACTAGGGTGTGTGTTTTCTAAGTCAATCAACGGTTAAGTGATATATTCTGTTATAAGAGGCCCATGAGTCAATTTCCTCTCACTTATGTAGTTCATTAAATTTTTCTACTTTGAATACCCTTTAGAACTTACCCATTATTCTACAAGCTTCTACCTTAGCTATAATTGTATAACTTTTAACCAAACAATGAACTGATGATATGTATTAAGCCATGTATACCAACCCTACTAAATTTAAATGAACTTCCCAAGCAGTTATAACCACTACTATTTTTTGGTCTTATTTATTTTGTACGAATAGGAAACAGAACTCTCAAAATTCAGAATTTCACCCATGAGCTTACCTATCTCCAATCCAACATGTCTCTGATTCTTCTATTTTTGAAATCACTACTGATAATATCAAGTTTCTGGTGATTAGAAGACTACTTACCCGGATATATTTCCTCTGATCAGCGAGGTTAAAACCTCAATTCTTGATAACCAGGTTTAAAATTATGTAACATACTACGACTAGTGTAGGCCTATAGACCATTACTACCCAGGTCACTGGAGAGATTATTATGAACAGTTTTATACCCAAAAGGCTCACGCGAAAACAATAAATATAAATATTAATTTTTAACATAATTGATAGATTGGTCCCCGGTATTTTGCCTCTTACCAATTTTTTTTGTAAAGTACGGTTAATAAACCTCGAGCTGCTCTAATTAGAATGGTGGGAATACTAAAATAGCGTAAAGGGAAGGCTGTCACAAATAATAGCCACATTAATTACGATAGATACCAAAAACAATGCGATTTCTGTGGATCGAACACAGGACCTTCAGATAAACTGAGGCTGAAATATGATTTTAGCCTGACGCTCTCTTAACTGAGCTCAAACCGCTGAACTTCAGTAAATTATTCTTAAAAATATAACTTGTAAATATCAAGATTCTAAATGGAATGTCAAAGTAGTTGTTCCATATTGGTATTTTTTTATGATGAGTGAAGGTTAACGATAAAATATTCAGGTGTTCGAGTAGTAATAAAAATAACTTTAACGTAGAAAAAAAAAATTTAGAACAGTAGTACAGTCTGGAGAAAGAAGCAAAATGATATCTTGAGATACGAAGCTGCTTAGTCTTCAGTCCAAAAAGAAAAAAATTTCATAAAAATTATCCAGAAGGATTTCAGCTCTAATTACTTGAAGCTTTGCATACCTTTTTTGGGGGAATGGTCAGTTAACGGTGTATCATCTAGAGATTCCTTTGGACTAAATAATATTCACCCTTAGAACTGATAAGTGTTATTTTTCAGCTTTCAATCAATATACTTATTAATACACAGTAAAAGTAACAATAAGAGGGAATTGCACAAAGAATCTGCTCTTGTATTATTTTGACTCTATTCAAGTATCTAAGATCTGAATTTACTGATCTTCAAGGATTTTTCTGAACTATGCCCAGACAGATGCTTGAGCCACCCAATTTTGAAAATCAATAGATATTTATTGTTTAACATTTTTAACCATCTTGGTTAAATATTAGGTACAACGGGGATTTGTTTGAAGGGTCACCATCATTGTTAGGCAGATTATTAGTTAAAACAGGCTGGTTTTGATTCAGCAGCATCTGCTCCATCGAATTAGCAACTGAAAACGATTGATTGTTAGACATCCAAGATCGTTGTACCAGCGATAATATCCTGTTAGTATCAGATAAAACTGACAATGCATTAGTTTTCGACTTAATATGATCAAGTTTTTTCATTATTATTTGTCGTTGCTCTGGTGAAACCCGTGGTATGTCTAAAATTGATTTGAACATAGCTATAAAATTGGCTATTTCATTATTTGAATCTTGACTGGAGGGTATTATGATGACAGTTATAACATCTGACACTGTATCTAGAACTATTAATTTTGAACAATGCCAAATCCACTGACGGCAATCGGATAGAGAGAAGTTCTGGTTACAATTGCTAGTGTTTTCTTCAATATGTCTATTAGGAAAAGAAGTGAATGAAATCTTTCGACGAATTAGACATTAGCTCAAATTTTGAAATAGCAGTTTTCCATATTAATGTTTGCAACCAGTTTCTAGTGGTTACCATATAGACCTGAAATATTTCAGGCAACAGATAAATTTCCTCTGGAACAGTTGTAATTCTATGTATTTCGGTTCAATCCAAATTTAGTAATTAAATTATGATTTCCCTGCAAAGCTGTAAATAAAGATTCATCTATTAGCTTGAAACTTTTAATAATTTGATGAAAACCTCTCTGGGCTACTGAAAATAATGAGTCATCGAGTTAAGGTTCTTCATAGGATGAGCTAAGTATAACTGTCCTAGAGGTACTAATGGCGAAAAAAAGTTTCATGGACATGTAAAACTCAGTAAAGTCGCTGAATTTGATATCTCTCTTTTACATCTAGCAAAGACAACTGTTTTTGATCGAAAACGTCTATACTCTGAACAAGACTAATTGCCTCTCGTAAATAAAGGAATCCAAAGCCGGTATGTTACATTGAAAAAAAAGCTCAGTTGAGTCAATCGGGATACCACAATTGTTTTTGTATTAAGTGGATGACCTATTGAAATATCACTTCTAAGGTCTAATGATTCATTGATTAGGTAAAACACCTGTGGCAAAACGGCACCAAGATCTCCAAGAATATAATTACTTTGAATAAAATTAGCAGCAGCTAAGGCAAATAAAAAGATTCTATCGGTGGCGTTTGAATCCATGTTTTGGATGCATTCCCTACATTCATCTTTCGATATAATCGGTACAAACGGATAATATATATAGGACATAGATAGTATAGTATCTTGAAAGTATTGTACATCATATCTCCATGTATTAAATACGCCTGATTCATTTGTACGCCGCGAATCGGAGTTTGAATAATCGGAATCAGCTGTTCCTTTGCATGTAGCTATTATGCTACTAGGTCGTGTGCGTTTGTTTTTTTGGTATCGGTGTAGCATATTGACAGGCTAGATTCCTCTGTTTACATTGTGAACATATAGCTTGACCATCACATTTGACTATTCCTTTTTCGGTAAGAATCACGAGGCAATTTTGTCTTATTGTAAACGCTTTTGGACCTTTCCATCTTTAGGCTTGGGATGGAATATTATGTGGAGGTGAAGGGTGTAATTAAATGATTGGAATTGTATGTTGCATGATGACTATTTCAGCCACTCTAGCATAGCGTCCTGCTGCGCCATATTATAGTCAGGCTCGTAGCCCTGATGCACTAAGATTCCCTAGTGTAAGTTTCATTCTCTCATTTTTTTGACTAGAAAATTGTAATCACTTTTTTATCAATAATAAGCATACTAAATGAAGGTCTCTTGATCATTTATATTTACAGCTTATAGCTAAAGCTCCCCTCATAAAATTTGTAATTACAGATCATAGTAAACCTAACCTTGTTCAGTGCATCTGGAAGGTCCGATAATATAGTCGGGATTACGCTCAGAGCAAGACCTCTCAATCAACCAATATACCTCAGAAGATAGATTAGAATATATCCAACGAAAAACACGCGGTAAATCTGGAAAAATCACAAAACAATGGTAAAAAATTCCGTTTAAATGCTGATTTGGTGTTAGTGGCGTACAAACATAGAAATACCTATGAAGCATTGTGTAGTATAAAAAAATTCAAGTATTAAAAATTAAGAAACGTATCTGCTAAATAATCAAATACAGAGTAAATTACGAACATCTCAGAAAAAATTATAAGACTAAAAAGCGAAGTTGAAGAGGAAGAAAAATAAAAGTTTTAAAGCTCAACTGGGCAAACTATTTCGATAAACTCATCCTTTTCAGTTTTTGAAAGCGATTCTTTCAAGGAATCATAGTGAGGGTCGATATTTTTAACAATGACATCGCCAAAAAGTTCATTCATATCTTTTAAAGTTCTACCCTTAGCTTCAGAGAAGCAGGTGCAGAATAGGACCTGCAGACTAATATTAAAACTCACAAAAACCAAGTAAGATTTTTATCCAATACTGTCCAGAGCTAGAGGCGACACTTGAGAAAGGATGATTTGCAAAGCATAATTCTAAAAGAAGAAAAAACTAATCCCTTTGCCCAAACATGTTTAGGAAAGATTTCAGCTGTGTAGGGCGCCCATACATTATTGTATCCCATCGAAAACCTAATTGAAAACAGGAAATTAAGAGCAATGACAAAGATCTGCCCTACTTAATTATCTGAACTACCATATACTGCACTCGGAACAGTTTTAAGAATAAATACAATGGTAATGGTAGCCCGAGAAGCAATAAGGGTAGGGATTCGGCCCCAACAATGATAGTTGTTAACATTACCACCAACTAATTGTGTACCAACGTTAAGTATTATAGCTAGAATAACACGTCTTCTGTAAGAAGGCTTGATAAATAAATCTTTGAAATCCTTGAGTTCTGTATTTTTTCATAAACAATTTACTCCTTCATAATAAATTCTTTCTCAAAAGTATCCTCATAACAAACACTGGGGTCATAATGAAGTTACCAAGTAACTTCAAAAGCTTCATAACGATCTTGCTCGATCAGCCATCTTGGAGAATTTAGCATGAAGGGGACTCCGAAAGTCAAAATTATTGCCGGTATCTTTTGAAAGGCTAGGAGAACCCTAAATTAAGCTTGACAGTTTTCAACAAAATAGAAGGCGGATCCTGTCCAATTAATAGCTAAGGTAAATTCAACGGACATTGAGGCAGAATGAAGGGCTACAGTAAACCCCCGTCGATATGAGCGTGATACCTCCGATGGATATAAGGGAATAGAACCAAAAAAAACTAAAGCCAACAGCAAAACCGGCAATGTTTTGGTCTGTGACCATCATTCCGACAATAACTGCCGCAATTTGTAGTTAAGTACCAATCCAGGTGATAATAGCGCCGATGAAAAATGGCTCGTTTGCGTCCGAGATAGTCACCAGCATAACCCGTGAACATGCACCCTAAGGCCGAACCGCCAGCATAAGAAGAGATAATACCACCTAGTAAACTGCTAGATGGGTTTTTGAAATATCCAATGAACTGAGAATGGGCGATCAAAGTACCAAAGAGGCCCGAATCGTAGCCGATCATGAGTGAGCCGATACGTAGGAAGGAAGCCCGGAAGAGATCTTGATGAGTTTTTCAATGTAGAAGTAGGAAGGTGATTTTATAGGGAAATGACTTCAAATTAAAAAACAATAGAAAAAAAAGTTCCTAGGGTTTGTTTGTTGTTGAGTTAAGGATATGGAAGATATTCTATAAAAATAACAGGCTTGATCAATTAGAGCCTTGTATTTATACATCTTTCTTTTCTTCAGATCTTTTAAAATCCGGGGTAATCTGATTGAGGGGTTGGCTTAATCGTTCAGAATAAACTACATGTATTTCAACAAACAGATTAAACAGAGTTGGTAGCCAGTCCCTGTTTATTGCATTCCCGGAAATAATCAAAGAATATGCAACATTTAGGGATAAACGTTGGAAATTGCATATTCTGGGGAAACGCTTGGGACTTGCAGGTTTTGGCTTCTTCAGCTGCATACTATCTCCGCCCGTTCGTCAGTACCGGCGCGATAAGCCGTACATCTCGGCCCGACAACCAAACGAGTGGGTATCCCTACATTTGGATAGTTGTGACTATTTGCTCATAGGTTTTCTTCTTGACTTGGAAAAGGCAGATCGCTGGGTAAAACTGCTTTCGTATTAAACTATTTAGTTGAATCCTGCACAGCTCTCTAGGCTATTCTTCCCCATATTGGGAGTGAAGACTTCAAAAAACTTCAAGGAAAGTCCTTGAAGTAACCTGAAGACAGGCTTTCTTTCTAGTCAAAAGTAAACAAACTTGTATACTTACCATTCTCTTAGCAGGTTTTTAAACAAAAAAA